TCCTCTGTACCCTGTAAATTCACGCCATATCCCACCCTTCAAACGGAAACACAGCCGTGCAAACATGACTGCTTCACAGTTTGTACAAAGTCTCCCTCTGGAGTTGTCCGTCCTTATTTCACAGGCCTCTAGTTTGTGTCACACAAAAATCTAATGCATTTGTTTAACGGCTCAAAATCAGTTATTCTAATTTCAAAACTAAAATACTGAACCGATTTTGGAAATATTTCTATGGGTCCGATCTGTAAATATAGGGTATATTTACAGATCGGACCCATAGATTTCAGATAATAAAAGAATTTTCCAAATCGGTTTAAAACTAACGAAGTTACGAGGGTAACAAACATAAAAAAAAAATACAATCGTATTGAGAACGTCTTTCTTTTTAAAGTCGGTTGGAAATGAAATGGAAACCTCGTCTGTTATAAGCTGGCGAAGTGTCAGTGAGAGATGATAGGTGAGGATGAAAGCAGAGGGTCTGCCATGAAACGTTTTTCGAAATTTTAGAGCGAAACGAAACCCAAATTTGATGTTAAAATATCGAAAATGATGAGTGAAATGTTAAGTTTCATTTACTGACTCGATTTCGGTACGAACGGAATCACGAAATTGTATCAGAAAATTTGAAATTTAATTTCATAGTAGACTCCCAGGTCGTTCGGCCCACCGTGACGAACTCATTATGAATATACAAGCGGGTTTACCGTTTCATTTTCATTAATTAAAAAAAATCTCGTGTAACAGTGGCGCCCTCTAGCGTCAAGAGTTTCTAAACCACCGTTGTACGTGTCTACTGACCAGGAATGGCAACGCATGGGAGGTATCGTGAGCGAAACAGTATACTCTGTTATGTCCATGGTACCTACTGCTCATGTCTATAGGCGACGGTTACCACTTTCCATCAGGTGAGCCGTCAGCTTGTTTGCCATTCTAAGTTGTATAAAAAAAAAACAAATTCACTAAAAAATATTCCTTCTTCATTCAAAAAATAAAAGTGTGTGTAATTTCTAATGCATGTCGTTTATTGGCCAAAGATTAATTAGCACAGAAAAAACAATGTATATTATGAGTATTTTGGCTATGATATCAGTTACATTCTAATTGTATTGATATTATTGTTGTAAAGCGAAGTGTTTTGGGCATTTTACGGTACACCCGTACGGATTATAAAAAAGAAAGTTAATGTTACCATAGATTTAATTTATTTTTGTTAAAAAAAAATATAGTGCTCGCCCGCTGTTTAGCAAATGAGAACTACCCACCTAACAAGTTGTACAGCGAATGTTTTATTTTGCACGGATTGTAAAAAAGAAAGTGAAGTGGCTTTGTAGATTTTATTTATTTATTTTTTTTGTTGAGAAATCAATGCTAGTGTGTTAGCCAGCGGACAAGTACTAACAAATTGTTATACAGCCAAGTGTTTAGACACGTATCTGTTTTAAAGAAAGTTAAATGTTTTCAACCAACTTAAAAAAGAAGAGTCTAAAGTTAGTTCTATTTTTTTATATTTGTTCGGTGCCTCATAAGTTCGTCAGTTTTAAACCGATTTGGAAAATTAGTTTTTATCTGTAAGGACTTATTTAAAGATTGCTCCCATAGCAATTTTATCAAAATTGGTTCAGTTATTTTGTTTTTAGATCAAAACAACTGAGTTTGTCACAATAGAAGTCGGTTGTTTTTGTGGGACACAATCTTTAATTAGCATATGTCGTTTTTGTTGAGGAATTAGTGCCAGTTGTTTAGAAAACAAGAACTAACTAAAAACTTGTACAGCTTAGAGTTTTACTTGACTACATTGGTGTATAGATCGTGTAGAAAGTGAGACGATCTTATAGTTTTTTTATTTTCTCGCCCTTAGCGATTAGTGCTTGCCCGTTAAATAGTTAGCAAGTAAGAACTAACAAGTTGTACAACTGTACAGCGAGATGTTTAAGATTCGGGCGTGTTATCTCGCAGGAGCGGCGTTATTTATTAACTTGATGTGTCTTTTAGCTGCGCGCATTCCGAACGATGGACGCCCAAAGATTAGCCATCGACGCCGATGGTGTTGTAAGTTTTTACCAATATTTTGCACTTCAAATAGAAATTTTATTTAAGAGGCGAGGAAATTCAATTGGAAATTTTGTGTTAAGACTTTATTATTAAGTATCAATTCTTACTAATAAATATAAAAAATCAGTTTATTATAAAACATCTTCGCCTTTGGAATCGATTTTGACGATTATTTTTGCAATTGATCTTTATCAATATAGTGTATAAGTTTTTGAAAACCTACTGCAACAACCAGTCTCTCACAAAACTGGTCTCATATATTTAATTGTACCTTAAGCTACTAGTTAACAAAAAGTAGTGAACTTTTCGTGAAGAGAAAAGAAATTATTCAGTACACGTCCGAGTTAGTCTTATTTAATTTAGGTATATATCTGCTAATTAGGGTTTTACTTAAATATAAGTAATAGTTGCATAGGTGTTTCCTATGTCAAGCTATTTAATATGTTATTTACTGTCGAAAATAAAAATTGGAATTAGTAACATCAAAATAATAAAAAAAATCAAGCTATTATAGTTTCATTAATCACTTCCAATTACCACTGCAAATTTTAGAAAGTAAAATATTATTAGATTTTATATTAATATACCATATACCTATGTGTATGTATTTAAAATATTTAATTATAAAACAAGAAACGTAGGCGAAAGTAATTTATGTCGTCATAATATTTAATCACTCTTATCTAGGTATATGAAAAATCAAAGGCGTGACATTAATAAGAAAATATTACAAATTGTGATGTCAGCTCCTGAGATCATCCAATAGTTATATGAAACTTGGTGTCTGCACACGGCTATTAATATTGTATTAAAGGGTAACTAGTAATTAATTATTATATGGTGTTGTTTATAAAACACCTTGGAAACAACTTCTATTAATCACCTAAGATAAGTGAAATTACCTAAGACAATAATATTATTTACAAGTTCGTTTATCGTACGATGTTTATCTTTCTCACGTTATCCACGCACTAACATTTTCAGTGAATTGCTGTTGTAGATATTTTATCTGATAGTTAATTAAAATTTGTTATCTATTCGTAATTAAACCTCGGAAAAATTAATTTGAACAGTTTTGTTTTGTTAACAGACCAGTTATTGTAAATTACTAATTATACATATAATAATAATTTGTATATAAATAAGTCAAATTATCCAAAATATCTGAATAGCTACGACGAATTTCGTTAGACTAATTTGAATTCTGTTTAATTTCATAATTGTATAAAAGTCATACTTTGTATAATTATGTATGTATTTATACAATTGTGCTTATTTACATATTTAGCTTTACAATTATTTTTTTCGATGCGCCATCTACCCAATCATTCTTTAATTCCTTCTACCCAAATGTCGTCTGGAAGTGTCTACACTATGCTTATTAAAAACCTTCAAACTTCTGATATATTGGTGTAATAAAATATTAATTAAATATTTTTTTTCCTATTATTAACAATACAAGACTATTTATTTTTATGGTAATCAAAAAGTACACAATGCTATTATTATTATTTATCCTGAATTATGAAGTACTATAACTTGATAAAAGTAAAATAATCATAAAAGTGAAAGTTTATAAAAATGTATGGGTGTGTACATTAGGATGTGTGTTGTTCAGTCGTGCATAACCCGTTGTATGGATGAGAATTAAATTAGCCATAAATATATATTATATTTCATACAATTTATATTAACGCACACTCGTTAATACATAAAAACTGGTAGTTTGTACGATTATAAAGAAAAAAAGGATATAAATTCTTAAGAATATGTACAGATATGATTCGCTTTTTTACTGAATAAAAATATTTTATATGTTAATTTAAGACTAAATTTTTTTTTATGTATAAAATTTAATTCAAATTCGTTAAGGCCTTTTAATTAAGGGCAATTGATTAACGAACATCCAACCATCTTTATAAACTGTTTCTTTATATTAGTAGGATGAAGCGGTTTAGAAGTTCTAGACAATAGAAAGCAACACCCTTACACAATTGAGATTTTGTTAAATGATATTTTCGTCTAGGAGTCTCTCAGAGTAACATAGCAGCTATGCATTGATGTTGCACACCGCGTGACAGCTCTGCGTCGGCAGTTTGAATGTGGTCGGGTGCGGGTGGCGCCGCACGCACACACACGCGCACACCTGACGCCGCCGGTGGCGCCAGCCGAGCCCCGCGGCCCGCACGTCGCGCCACCGCCCGCCACTGGGTTGCCAGTTTATAGATATTGCATTATTTTAAGTTAATTTATTAGCGTGTGTACATTTGTGAGCAAAAGAAAAAGTATACAGTTATAATTATTATTGTATGTGACTCGATATCTTGGATAATATGGAATTTATTTTGATAATTCCTTTTGCAATCGATATGATATTGATTCAATATTACTTTGTATACAATTAATTTATTTTAGTTGCTTGTAGTTAAAAATCTTAAGTAAATTTATTTTATTTCATGCCAACACCACATCCATCTATAGTAGTTACCTAATCGTTATAATTATTAGGGTACTCAGTCTCTATATATGCCCTATATACATATAAAATACGTATAAAGTGTTTAGAATTGAAAGAAAAGTTTATAACACCGAATTAAATAAAAACACTAAATCCTGTTTAAGTATAATTTAATTATATATATTTTGATTATTAATACATATTATTAAGTTCCATGAATTAAATTAAATTCGTAATAACATATAGCAAGGCTTCAAGAGTATATATTCGAAATTGATGATTAGAAATTGTCGTAAACTCATAGAAAGCAAAATTAGCCCATCAGGAATTATAATAGATAGAGTAGCTTTGTTCTGTTTTCTTACTTCAGATGCAAGGCTGTGTTTATAACATCTTTAAACAGTCACTGATTGTAGACAATATTTTACCATTATTACATTGGGGTAAATAATAGTTCGAAGCAGGTGGCACTGAGCCGCGTCACTGCATCGGTCGTCCAAAGAATACGTCCATCAGTCGAGTGCCCGCACGCGGCGAGTGATGACGTACCGTCAGCGTGTTGGTGTCGCGTGGCGCGGGTGGCCGCGCGACTCGTGACGCCGTCGTCGGCATGTGATGTTCCGGAGACGCGCGCTGCGGCGGCGGCTGGCGTTGGCCGGCGCGCCTTCCGTGCCCGACGACCAGCTGCGGCGGTTGGCCAGTGTCCTGGACGCGGGTGCCGACGGTAGAGAGTGCGTGCCGGCCGCCCAAGCCGGCCCTCAACTCCAACTCGCCGTCACCCGCTTCAGATACCCCGAGCTCCGTGAACTGAGCGAGCTTCGGCGACTACCGCTCTGCAAGGAACAGCAGTGTTGCAACCCTTACCACTGGAGCCGCCTCTGCAAGCCTGGTACGTGACGTGCCGCTCGGCCGTTGACCCGCGCAACAAGTGCATGAAGTAAACATGAGTGCCGAATCTGCGCCGAGCCGCGCCGCGCCGCGCTATCGCAGTGTATTTTCGAAATAGATTGTGTGTTTCTACCAAATGGGAGTGTTTGTGTAGATGAAATTGTGTGTGGTATGAATATGGAATGGATGATACGCAACGCCGGAGTGAGATTTGAAAGAAGAATCGTTCGGAAACTCAGGATTTACTTACTTGCCTACTTTGCATTTTTCTCCATTAATGTGTAACGTCAGACGGTTCACTTCGCCTTGGTAAACATACCAACATAACCTTACCAAACCAAGTGGGTGCTTTGCATCGCTCGAGTGTCCCTAACTAGAGGCAGGATCATGGCTGTTTGTGCACCGTTGCGCCACGCCGGCGTTATTCTGTCAATTTCCACTGCTAACTCACACGGGCCGTATCCGTTATCAGTGCTGCCGGTTATCAGTTTATCGCTACTGTTTGTTTCTGTAATCGTTACGTCCGCGGTGACGTCACCGTGGTCTCGGTGCCGTGTGCTCATAGTCACATAGCACCAGCTACCAGCTCCGCTCGTCTCCTCTGCTAAAATCATTCTATCCATATAGTAGATTGTGAAGTGTAAACATTTCCGTTCGACGATCTATTTTTAGAGTCTGACATCAGCTTAGTAGTGTTCTTTAAGTTTGTTTTATAGGATTAGGTATTTTAAATGTCACGACGAAATTCACGAGCACCATTATCTTTATACGACTTTGTGAATACTAATTTTTCCGAACGTCTACCTAATTACCTACGCTGAAGAGATCTGGTTGTGAAAAAACACCTACCTACATTCCTATTAAAATATGTTTGTTTTTTTTTTTTTTCATTATTTTATATTGTGAACTATTTATAATATAGCATTATGGAGGGGGGCACTGTGCCTATGTACTGTAGAAAAAGTGAATAGCTATCACCTAATCTCGCGTTGTAGTGAGGGTCACTCGTAGTCGTTCGCGATAACTAGACAAGGTCACGGCGCTGGCGCCGGCGTGCCGCGACGCCCGGCGCGCGCAACCAACCCGTTAACTTTTTAATTCGCGAAGCAATGGCTGCCGCGCGCCGTCAGCCTTTGTTAGGTAAATGCGTACATTCCATCTCCCTACGCGGTCTTCAGAGGGTCGTTGCCTACATTTATAAATACTCTTATATAGGTACCTACCTAGTACAATTATAATACCTCATAATAAGTAATTGCAAACTAATCTGGTTTAGTTAGGTACCTATCTATCTATCTATGTAATGTGTAATTTACCTAACTAGGTACATTGATACGCTATCTAGTTCGTATTAGGTAGCATGATATAAAAACTTCAAGAAAGTAATAAACTAGTACATATTCATTTGAAGATTTGACGTTAGTGATGTGTGGCCATGACATCGACTCACACGCAGTTCAAATCGCCTACAAACATCCTCCCACGCGTGGAGTACCTATATTGCTTAGGAGCCACACGTAGGTGTACTGACAATGCCTGTTAGCATATTAATTAAAAAGAAAGGCAACAAAAATATGAATATTAATGTTTCCTAATGCGGTAAGATCACGGCGTCTGTCGGCCCTCACGTCGAGATTTCACAGAATTAATGATTGTTACCATAGAAGATGATGTCATTTATATAAAATACATTGCACGCTGACAAGATATATAATAATGTGTCTCGTTTTTCATAGGAGTATAGGTCAGTACCCAAAGAAATGCTGGTAACTGTTTTAAACGGACTGGTAAATGTTTTAAACGGAAGCCTTAACTCGTTTTTCAAAGGCTTTTCTGGTTTTGTTATTTAAATGTTTTTAAGATTGTCTATCCAATTACAAAACTAGTCCTGTGTAGGACACAAAGAGTTGGAGAAATGTAAAACCATGTAGTATACCGAAGATTATTCACAGTTGCAGTCGAAGATGTTTTCAAACGCATAGACATCCAAGAAAATGCTTGGTATAAGTAATATAATATTTATTCGTCATGACTGATCTCGACGTGAGTATGTACGTGACAGAATTTGTGGAGGATATCAGCCCAATGCTTGTTGACCTCAATAGTGTTTCTTAACAGGTAGACCTTAAGATGAACATGGGCAAGACTAATGTCACGTCTAACGTCCATGTCACACCTATACCGGTTATAGTTGGGAACGTTTCGATCGAATATTCAAACCTGCGAAGACTTACTATACTATATAAACTTGGACTGAAAGATCAATTGGCGAATATGACTTGGTTGGGTAGCGTTAAAGAATTAGGCTTGGTCATATCACAAAGATTACAGTCCAAACATTTTATGATTACTGGATACTTATTCTCAGTGACAGCTTACGGTATAGAATTACTGTTACTAGAATTACACTCACTGAAAACGGTGTAAGGAAGCTCCAAGTCCCTCAACAAGCTATAGAAACGCGGATACTCAGGATCTTGCTGCGTGAGAATTAAAATCTAAATATTCGTACGAGAATCAAAGTGAATGATATAATCTGAAGGATCAACAAATTAAAGTCCCGATATACCTTTAACAATCAATAAAAAAAGAAAAAGGTTCTTGAGAGGCAAAGCCCCGTTCTCTATAGTCTCGTTCCTTTAGATTATCCTATAGTGCCAATGTATATACAATGTACAAAAGACCATTCCTTATAAACGTCTACAAGGAAACCTTATATTTGACAATAGCCAATGAGCAGCATGAATGGTAATCAAATTTACAGCAGAATTAGAAAATTCAGAATAGCTATTGGCTTTTAAAAATTGTTTCTTTTAGAATTGAGCAAATTCTGATGTATTTTTGAAATTATTGCAAAGAAAACAAAGTGATGATGATCGAAGGATTGAATTATAAATGGTTTTTTGTCTCTTTATTGTGGTTTAGTAAATTATCCATCTCACTAAACAACAGCAGACTGTCAATTCATAGAGCAAAGTTGTTATAATGCCCCACGAGGTGCACGAGTTTGATTTATGAAAGGAGTCGGTTAAAGATGCCATGTTACTTTCGCTTTAGATAAATATTTGCTCCTATCAATGTTGAACACACAGTGTGTCTAGCTAAGAGTAAGTAATGCGTGTTGCGTAATTTTTTATCTATTAATCCTTCAATTAAATAAAGAAAACTTGTTTGATTAATTATTGTCAATTTGTCTAAACTTTGATTCTTGGATACTGCCCCGCGTTACAGTTACATGTCGACTTGATTGATTGTTATATCATCAGTAAGTTCAACGAACAAAATGAAGCCATCAAGTCAGAACGGAAATTAACACACCCGGAGACGGGTCTCCGTCTGTGATGATTTGGCATGGATCACCTGTGCGATTTTTTTTTATTGCGGCGGCGCGGCCTGTCGTTGCTTGGTTCCTTCACTTCGGCCGACGACGGTTTTTGTCAACTTTCGCGGCGAGTTCCCACAGCCGACCACACTAAATATAGTTGCCTGACGCCGTCTTTTTTCGGCACTCTTTTGATTTGTCTGCAGTTTGACTGATCATGTCTCGTGTTATATAAACTTTGCTTTCTTTATTTTTATTGTAATACTATTTGTTATTATTCGTACACTGTATATAGTATTTATTGTATTTACTGGTTGGTAAAGTGATGTTTTAAAATCCCTAATTATCATTTCAACATTCTTGTTACTTCATGAGATTTGGGAAACTGACAATGTTAATATTTGAATGTATGATCGTGAATCATAGTTACGTTATATCGTATCGTTATTATTAAAAGAATTGAAACATTATTCATAACGAACAATCTCGTGAATGTACGAGCCCACGGCGTATATCCGCAGATCGGCACCAATCACGGCTCGCCGGCGGCCTCTATTTCTGAATGTTTTTATACAGCCGGCACTTTCGGGGCGCGGGAAGGGGACGTTATCTTATCGCTCACAGGCGTCGGGCCGACGCCGCGCGCTCACAGGATCAAAGATTGCCACGAAGCTCGTGCGAGTGACGTTGCCGGCCCGTTAATTAACTGAATTGTCATGTTAGGACCATTAAAGAAATCACTCACCCACGAGCAGCAATCAAACCCACATCCGCATCGAGCGCGCGTTATCACCGACTCTGTAACTACCATTTACAAGTAATTTTGAGCCCACACGACATTTCACTAACCCATTACAAGAGGGGTCCAAAAGTTAATGATGTCGTCTAGATATACCCGTATAAGCATTCATCTGCTGTTGATGTTAGCGACGCGTCGGAGGCGGCGGCATGGCCGATATTTATTTAGCCATAATTGCTTGTCGGCTGACTGGCGCCGGCGCCATGTCGCGCCGAGCGGCTGCGGGCCGGTGAGGGGGGCGCGGCGGGCGCGGTGCCTGCGCCGACGCAGGTACGCCGGTCGCACTGCGTAAGCTCAACTTGATTTTCGTGATCGGTTTTTTTTTGTTTTATTGTAGTCTGGTCATGTTTTTGGGTTGCTTTGTTGAATTTGTGAATGGCCGATCACAATATGCTCGATAGTGAATAGGTTTGCATCATATAAAAAGTTGTTTATTGCCTGTTTTCTTAATGTATTATTGTTCTCATCAGGTCGTTTATAACTCTGCTCATTTACATACTTAAGTAATAATAATGGGATGCGAGTCTACAAGTTCTTATTTTTCTTTTCCTGTTCTAAATTTAGATACATCCAAACTAGTGTCACTCAATAGTTGAAAGGCCTTGTCCAAGTTTGTTCCTTTAATTTAGAACGATTGATTAGCATGTTTTCGCGAAGAGCATGTAATAAAGGAGCCCATTGACTGGCGGCACTTGTGACAGAACCGGTCGCTCCTGGCCACGGCTCTTGTGAAACTGGAAAAATTGTCTTTATTAGCTAGTAGAGTGACGGGGCCGTGGACGGGCGGCGCGGCGACGCCGACGGTCAGCGATCGGTCAATTCCTCGCTCGTTACCGCCTCTAAACAATCCACTGCTGCCTCTAACGCTCATTTGTTTTTG